GTTACGACTTTATTCTCGTAATGTTACGACTTTATTCTCGTAATATTAGGGCCTCGCCCTAATACTCCGTCGTAGATTAAGTATTTATTATGCTGGGTTAAATTAAACAGTTTGGAAAAGTATCATTAATTTATTTCATTATTTTATTTTATGTTTTTTTGGGGGGTGAGTCTTGTTTCCTGTTTCCTTGTTTAACTCCTGATCAGTTGGTGGCGGTAATGCACTTGAACTAGTTTGCCAACAGCCATTAAAAAAAAAACTACAAGAAGTACAGGGGGAAAAAAATAAGTTCCAGGTTTTTATCGTCATCAGACGGAGACGGAAGTACTTAGAGAGGCTTCATCTTGGACTCCCGCAGCAGAGTAGACTCTTTGAAGAATCTGTATGCTAGTAGCCAGATGAGGCTGCTGTGCGGCTGGCCGGAGGGGACTCAGTGGCTGGCATTCATCGCTCCTGAGATTTAGAATCATACTGAAGAACCATGACTGGGAAACCCTCCAGATTGGTAAATAAAAGCGATTTTTAAAGCATCTTTACCTCCGATCGATAAGGTTACTCCCTCAGTTCAGCTAGGTGACTAACAGCTGCTCAAGTTATGTTTATCTGATCATCTGCAATAGAAGCAGGAATAAAAAAAAAACGTAGCGAAGCTTTTTAAGCAGATAAATCGCAGTGTTTTTCCTTTTTAAATTAGTTTCCTCTGTGTGACAGGCGGCTATAGCGGGAGGAGCGTTTGATTCCTCCTGACCTGTCCCCTGTGTGAGTTTCCCTCCTTGCTGTTTAAGTTAAAGAAGGGAAAGAAAACATGTCCGCGCTCAGGTCATTGACATCCCTGTTATCTGGGGATCCATTTGTCAGCGCCAGAAACATTCTGTCCCTCACATGCAGACAGCGAACAAAAACAAGAGGTGTCCTTGGTTAGGACCCTCCCCTGCATCCTTCCCCGGTGTACAAAACAAACACACAGCCTGGATCTACCCGCATAGATCCTCCTCAGGGTCCAGAGTTCACTTTCAGCTTCTAACCTCACAGATCTGTCCTACACACACACCTCTATGGGCTGCCATTGGTGAAGCTTATCTAGTCAGATATTCGCAGCAATGTTTGAAAAAAATTAAACATTAAACATAAAAGAAAAAAAAAATACTATTACTTAATTACTTATTATATAATTCATACATGTATAAACATCACATTTTCCAACCAGACATTTACAGGGTTACAGGTCATTAAAAATCATTAAATTATCTTTTTTTATTATTATTATTATTATTAAGGCTTTAATTGGCATTACATTCATTAAATGTGATTATAGTGGCATTTAAAATGTGTTATTTAAAAAA